AAGTGCCGAGGCGGAGATGAGGAGGACGCGAACCCACCGCCGAGGGAACTCGGCGTGTTTATGCACATTTCGGTTCATTTCTGCGGGGATGCATGAGCAGTAAGCCCGGGTGGATGTGTCGGTGTGTGGACGAGAGCTCCGTGGGGGGGGGGTTCAGACGTAAACAAGCCGAAAAAACAATCTGCCACGTGGGTGAATGTGGGTGTCACTGGCGAAGCTGTGGTGAAGAGTCAGTATCTGTGTGTTTGAATCATGTGTACGTGCTGAACCCCGCGGGACTCGAACCTCTCGCTCCTCCACGGGCTGTCCCACCGGACCCAGCAGCTGCTCAGCGTCCCTTCTGTTCGTCCTGGGACACACAGAGCATCACTTCTCCCCACAGACTCTACATCGTGGTCTTTAAACTGGGAGCTCACACATCCTGCACCTCCTGGAAATATTATACTGTGTTTATTATCTCAACATGGAGAACCCCCCCCCATCTAGAATACTGGGCCAAGCTATGTTTGCACAGGAAGGTAGTTTGACTAAATGTTACCTACTTAGATTATACAAGTTCCACCTGTGAACAAAACACCTTTCTCATATTTCTGATCATTTGCTGACCTTGTTCCCTGAGCTCCATAGTTCCTCACTGTTTTTTCTTGCCCTGCCTCAGAGATGTTCTCAGGAGGATTTTTCTCCTGCTCAGCGGTCGGTACATCTGGACGGTGTTAAACGTCTCCAGGGGAAACTCTGCCGAGCGTTTTGCACAGAGCGTTATTCATACGAGGAGTTTTCTCACGAGCGCATGTCAGCCTCACTCTGGCCAGATTTCCTTTGCATCCACACGTTCGTGTTTGTCCTCGCACCCATCAGACGCCTCCTTTGTTCAACGCTGTTGCTCACAGTTTGACCTCCAGGCTGTTTCCTGATTGTAAATTAAACTGAAGCAATGATGTTAAGGCCGGAGAGAATCGACCGGAAAGGCTGCAGCTCATCTGGGATTACACTCTGCACCAGAGACCAGCAGCCGGAGGGCAGATCTGGGTCTGAATTAAGTTTCTCCAAACATTCGAGTTGTATAACAAACTCTGGAGCATTAAGATTCAGTCATTGCTCTCATTTCAGGAAGCACAAACTTTAGTTTTATTCATTTACTTTACTTTGGAGCAACTGTTTTACCGTTGCTTGTGTAAAATCTACAACAATACACGGACACTTGGTTTCTCTGGCAGAGGGGCGTCATTGTCCTGTTTTTTTAGTGTGTGCCAATTTCCAAACACAGCCTGATGTTTGCTGACCAGCAGCTTCGACTGTCACATGGTCCGAGAGGAGACAGAACTGAGACTTCTGTCTCTCAGCTCTGCTTCTAAATATGTTTTTAAGTCAGCGCCACACGACAACCACGATATTCTACCTGCGCCACACCAGCAGAGACAACATCAGCAAATGGCAGCTGAGGAGATTAGATAAACTTTATTGATCCCAGGAGAATTCACTTGTTTACAGCTGCAGAAAATGAAAGTGAAAATACAAAGTGGAATAGAAATGGTAATGAATAGAGATAAGTATATAATATACATGTTTACTAACATACAACACATTTAAGCTTTTAGGTTTCGAAGTTTCAAAGTTTTAGTTTTTATATTTAAGCACTTGATGAAGAGTGGAACATGTGTGTTCTGCAGTGAGTTTTCCAAGTTGTACAGCTCCTCTTTTTCATCCCGACATATTTGTGTTCTTCCAGTTCCACGTCCGTGACGTGTTAGGAGCCTTTTAGAAAGTTTTTACCTGGGGTCTGGCAGGAGAAACCCGTAAGAAACCATTTCAGAAGAATATCTGGAGTTCAGCGCACGTCTGACGGAGGTTTCCTCTTTCTGTTGCAGGTTCTGTACATGCAGCGGCCGCAGCAGTCACAGTGACATGGACATCAGAAGAACCGACACACCCCGCAGAGCTGACACAGGAGCCTGGCCTGAACTGCCGAGCACAAAATGACTCAGAGAAATGGAATCGGAGGGACGAGCGATCACCTCCTTCACTCGGGGTCCGGCGGTGCTTGTGCGCAGGCCAACAGCATGGAGCACGAGAAAGCCCAGGAGCCCCGGGACTGTGAGTCCGAGGCGGGGGGCCAGGGAGGAGAGCGCGGGGACTCGGTGGCTGTGAGGGGGGCGGTCACGGCTCCAGACGGCGGCTGGGGCTGGGTGGTGCTGGTTGCCACCATCTTGGTCCTGGCTCTGACCTTGGCCTTCCCCTCCTGTGTGGGCATCTTTTACACCGACTTGCAGAATGATTTCCACGCCTCCAACAGCGAAACGTCCTGGGTGCCCTCCATCATGACGTCGGTGCTTCACGCAGGAGGTAACGCAGACAGACCCGGAGAAACTCAGGGTCACACAAGAAGTTATAATCCACAGTCTGTTCCTTCTCAAAGATAACTCTTCAGTGAAACACACTTTTCATTCGATGAAACGCTCGCGGTGGTTTCGCTGCTGTGATCAGAATTATCATTCTGACCTCTCCTCTGCTTGTTTTAGTGTTTATCATTAACCTGTCGTTACCCCTCGTGGTCACAGGGGGCGCTGTTCAGCCACAGCTACACCAGCCTCATTCTCTGGGACTTAAACACACAATTCTTCAGGTTTTGTTCAATTTATCCACCTTTACTTTTTATTTTTGTGCAGCAGATATGTTTGCATAATGAAAATCCTGCTCACGAGACAAACTCTCTGATAGAGACACATTCCCGAATGACCTCAGACTTGATATTTTTAGCTTCTCTCTCACTCTACCTGACTCTTAATCTGCAGGATTGTGATTTAAAAACGTTTTTGTTCCTTGTGTGTTTAAAAAAACAAACAAATATCAGAGTGTGTCTGTATTTTTCTCATGAAGCTCCGTCAGTGCACGAGTCATCATTACTGCGCGTTATCTCTGTCAGTCAGTAATGTCAACTTCCCTTTTCTGTGATGCTCATGAGCGTTATGTAACCTGCATGAGAACAGGAAGGTAGTGTGGGCTGTGCAAGGTTGGTCAACTCAGCCAAGTGCGTTTAAAGTGAACGTCAGTGCTGGTGATAAGATCTCAGATAACAAATCATAGCACGCGTACAATTTTCATGTTGTAGATTTTTCTGTGGGGTTTATTTTGATATTCAACCCGTGGACACATTTACCTGAAGAGATGTTAGTCTGAAACAAATAACACAGTGTGAACGTTCGCTCCTGGTCGAAAAACATTCAGGTGAAAGTTACTTCATGGTTTGTTTGTTGTTGTCTCTATGTCAACACACGTCATCCACATGTGATGAGACTGTTTTGTGTTTTGCATTTTACCAAATTTTTAATTGAAGCTGACGTTTCTAGCTTTCTGTTAGTGTTGGTAAGTCTATGTAATGTCCTTGGAAGTCATAGGGACACAACTCCGTGCGTGTGCGTGCGTGCGTGCGTGCGTGCGTGCGTGCGTGCGTGCGTGCGTGTGTGTGTGTGTGTGTGTGTGTGTGTGTGAGAGAGAGAGAAAGTTCTCAGGGTTGTTAAAGACAGAAAGGCTTTGATCTAATCTCCTGAGTTTTTAGGAATGTGACAAGAATCTCAGGTTTATCTTCGTTAATCTGCACAAAGTTTGAGCCACTCATCTCAGGCCAAAGAGGGCGGGACGTCCCGTACACCTGCAGATTTTAACTTGGCCTGTTTTGATGTCTCCACTCCGGTTGTACAAAAAAAATTTTATTTGGCTGAAATGTCCGATTAGAATCAAGGATTTTGGTGGATAAAGGTCACGATGACATCAAACAACATATTTGTGGTCCCATCTCAAGAGTTCACACATTAATGATGACGACTAAATCCAGGATAAGAGTATAAGTGATGACATTTTATTTTCAAAAGGTCAACTTGGCTGTGATGCCATAATGTTCTGCAGAAACACTTTTCTGTCCATCACCCATATGTCAGCAACAGATGGGGAGAGTGTGGCTGTTTCCTGCAGATCGACCGCTTGACTGATTTTCAGTTTTATTGTTCAGCAGAGCACGAGCGTTGATTGACAGCTCAATCAAGTAGACTCTCATTTTATTCCTATTCGCTCACTTGCTGTTTGTAAAGTGTTGAGCTGGATATTCACGTTTTCATCCAGGCAGCTTTTACATGAATGAAAACTGACAATAGAGAAGAGTCTGATTATCACTGTGGGTTTAAATAAAAGATTAAGAAGAACAGAATAAAAGAGGTAAAAAGATTAAGAGAGTTAGAAGAAATAAATCTGTATCAAAAAAAGTTGAAAGGGAGAAATAATACATGTTAAACGGAATGAAACACAATGATGGCATCGCTTTATAAAATAGTTAATTCACATAAAAAAGTCTTAGGCCTGGTTTTAAAAGTTGCCATGGACGGAGCATTAGGATCATGAGGCGGTTCAGATGTTCAAGCACTCTGACGCCTGCGTCTACGGCTCGGGCTCATTTAAGTCTCGTTATTATCCACATCAGTACCCCGCGGCCCTGTTGCCTGACAACAGAGGCAGGAGAATGTGTTTCATTTACGACCCCTCTTTAGTGAAAGTTAACCAACACACACACTGCTGTATGTTCTTCTGAGGCGATTTCAACTGCCGCCTCCAGCCAAGATTATTTATGAGCAGCGATTGACGCAGAAAGACATGACAACGGGTGGGTCGACTGAAGGCACACACCGTGTACGCAATGAGTTACTGAGAGAACATGATTTCAGTCATGCTCTCTGTGTTTGGACGGGTCATTGAACTAGTGCAGATTACAGAGAAACACAAGTTATGTGAAATACTCCGCAGGATTACGAAAATGGCCCCGTAAGCCTTTAAGCCATTTCTGCTCCTGTCTGCCTTAAACTAAGAGCATTACTTTCATCCACAGGTCCCTTTTGTAGCGTGCTGGTGGAGAGGCTCGGCTGCAGAGCCACAGTCATGCTGGGCGGAGTCCTGAGTGGGCTCGGAATGGCGGCCAGCTCTTTCACCCAGACCATCGGCCAGCTCTACGTCACAGCCGGGGTTATCACAGGTCAGCAAACATTTAGAGCATTTCTTACACCAGCGCACGCCCGACAACCATGGTTACACACAACTGTACACTACGTTACCCAGAGAGCAGCAGGTGAACGTAGTGGAGCGTTCAGGAGCCACAGGAGGAGGTGGAGGAGGTGGAGACCAAACATGGAGTATTAATTGACATAAATTCATGAGCTGGAGAAGAACACGACTCCATAATTGTTTACAAAAGCACAGTATTGATTTTTTCTTCTTCATCATTTCAGGACTTGGTTTCTGCTTCAGCTTCCAACCAGCTGTGACAATCCTGGGGCACTACTTTGTGCGCCGTCGTGCGTTTGCCAACGCCATGTCCTCCACGGGTACGGCCTTGGGACTCTGCACTCTGCCCGTCCTAGGTAACTACCTCCACTCTGAGCTGGGCTGGAGAGGAAGCTTCCTCGTTCTGGGGGCCGTGCTGCTTAATTGCTGCGTGTGCGGAGCAGTGATGAGGCCCCTCCAGCCGCCCACGCACCGAGGCCAACCCCTGATGAACCACGGACCCCCTCCACCAGAGGAGGACAATGTGAAGAAGAAAACTGGGTGGATGAGGGCGATATGGAACTACCTGGTGGCTTCCATGAGCAAACACATGGCATTTGATCAGTTATGCAACAACCCGCGTTACTGTGTGTACGCCATCGGCATCACCTGGATGATGCTCGGGTTTGTGGTGCCCTTGGTGTATCTGGTTCCCTACGCTACTGCAAACAACATGGAGCAGAGCCGGGCCGCGCTGCTGCTGTCCATCCTGGGTATCGTTAACATCGTGGTGCGTCCGCCCTTTGGCATCGTCGTCAACATGCCTTGGTTCAAAGGGCGACACATTTATGTATTCTCCTGGGCTCTGCTGGTCAACGGTCTCAGTAACAGTATCTGCTGCATCGGGCCCAGCTTCATTGTGCTGCTGTCGTATGTGATCATCTACGGCCTGTCCATGAGCGTGGTGGGCTCCCTGATGTTCACCGTGCTCATGGATACCGTGGAGATGAGCCGCTTCCCCTCAGCGCTCGGCCTGCTCGCCATCATGGAGAGCATCACGCTGCTCATCGGGCCTCCACTGGCAGGTAAACTTAACATGGAGGAGATGTGGTGCCTCAGAATGAATTTAGCTTCGGGCAGATTGAATGTTTAAGGTATTCAGGAACTCAGGAGGTAGATCAAATCTCAAACCGTGGGTCCTGTGAATAAAGATGGATGACTCGTTCGTCTCAACGTACAAAAATGAAGCCAAACTATCTCTGGTACGGGCACTGCCACTTTTGACAAAGAAGCCATTTTTGAGGTCCACTAACATGGAGGAGGCAGTGGTTTATGAGCCATGCTGCAGCCAGCCACCGGGGGGGGGGGGCGATCCAGATGTCTTGGACAAGCTACAAGTCATTGGTCAATTTTATTTAGCTTAAAGGAAAGTATTCTTATTAAGATCATTAAGTTAGACTTATTAATTGTTAAAGTACTTCTTATATGATACCTGTAATTAAACTGATTATTATTCATGTTTAAAATCCTTCATGGAACCAGTAGAACTTTCTGTTTTGTTTTTTTATCTCTAAATCAGATTATATATCAGAAATCACTCGAAGCGTCACAGACAGGTGCAGACGGAGGAGCTGCACGTGTGTTTTCGTGTCTGTAGGACACAAGTTTCTGCCTGTTTTGTTATGTGAATAAAAGGTTGGGCCCTCATGCTCCGGGCTGCTGCTGCAAATAACACATCATGTCGATTTGGCCTGTACACCGAGGTCTCGAATGACAGGTACGCTCCCCCCCATTTATCTGACTGCTCATATGGCAGTGATGTAACCTAAGACGTGACAACACTCTCAGAGCTCGTCCATGTGAGTGAGAAACGTTTAGGTAAAGTCCATAAAGTTGGAACACGGTCAATTTTTTCTGCTTTTCTTTCCTGTTCATAATTTCATGACCTCTCAGATTTGTCATGTGACTCCTTCATTAGGTCGTGAACCACCAATTTAACCACAAAGAACATCAGCTCCCATATGAAACCACATTGAAATTCACTGTGTCTGGATTTTTATTTGGATCTGCACCAGCTTTCACCTTCTCATCAGCTTCTCAGTTCTGTAAACATGTCTGATTTTTCATCAGTATCCATGAATTATTCTCTGAGAAATCAAGGTAAATGTTGAAAAATGCCAATAATCTCACAATGTTGAAGAAAACATGTCATATTTTCTCGTCGCAGGAATCCTGGTCGACAGAACCGGTCAGTACTTCCACGTCTTCTTCGCCTGCAGTGCCGTCGTTGCCTCGGCCGCTGTGTTCCTCATGGTGTCATTTTACTGGCTGGATAAGAAGGAGAGGAATTTGCCAAAGCCGGGTCAACCTTCCCCTCCGCCCGAGAACTCGAGACCTGCAGGCGACGTAGCCCCTGGCTGTCAGTACAGCAGTGTGCCCACAGAGGGAGACAAAGACAAGGCCGCGGCTAACGGGGCTGAGTATAACACCAGCCTCTGAACCGGCTCACACTGTTTGTCGCCCTTGTCACACATCACACACTGGGTCCGACAGGTTTGCAAATAGCTCCTAATGTTTGGCAGATGGTGCAATGTTTACTCTCTGCGGTTGAAAGGCTGCGCGCCCGAGTCTCTGCCATCTGATGCGCCATAAAAGTATAAATAAATACTAGGACTTATTTACACTGTTTGACCAAGGTTTGATCCTGCATACCAAAATGAACAGATGTGCACTTACAACCACAATGTGATTGTACTGTTAATTGTAAAATGCTGCTGATCTCATCCACACGATCACACAATCGATCATATATGAGTTACCTGACTTTATCAAGACAAGTTACTCACATCAGCCTGAAGAAATCATGTTTCCAGATGTTTTTAATAGTGTTCAGTATGTGATGAGTTCACAGACACACACACAGAAGATTAAAAAACTACTGTTGTGAAGCGTACGTGGGATGTTCAACATCTTGTCCTATATTCTGAATAAGCTTAAGAAAACTGAGCAGTGAAATCAAGGTGGTGAAAATTCAAAGGAATGAATTATCAAGGACACACTGGTTTTATTAAATTGTGTTTTTCTTATTGTCAAAAAAAATCACCAAAGCAGCGCATTAGTTAGTCGCCCTCTACAGTACATGTCACACAATACAGTCTCAGATCCTAGTTGTACTACACTGTTTATTAAAAGGATCTGTGACAATAAGAAAATCATAATGTAAAATAAAACCAGCCTTATTTCTAAATGTCAGGAGCTAAAGGACTGTTACAGTCACGTTTGATCAGGGGATGAAAAGGAGAGTTGCTTGTTTTCCTGGTCTGTTTCCACGTCTTCTTACAGCTTTATTAATTAAATGTCCATGTCCAGTGGAGACATTAAACACAGCATAATGGATATTACACCCACGTGAATGAGTTGCTTCAAATCAATGAAGGTTCATAGTAAAGAGTCGTTCACTGTCACGTGTAGAAAATGAATATATGCACAGTTCAAGTAAAAGAATCATGTTTCTTCTTTCGCATGCTTTTCATTCCTGTAATGGAACAGTGCCTTTTTATAGAAGCGGTGTGTGTTTAAAAGATAATCTACAGCCACAGGATGATGTCTGACACTTTCAGGAACGCTGGTCAGAAGCAGATGATTTCACACATTTCATGAGATTAATTATCTGAAGGGCACTGAGAAGTCTGCAGCGTACAAACGGACATGTTTTATGACACTGAGTTTACCTTTAGTTCCAAGCGGTTTCGTCTTTTGCTAAATGAACTGTGAGACGATCGCAGCGCCTGTAGACGTTTGAACAAAGCTGTTTTCTGTCAGATGTGATTGAAAATGAAATCTTCAGGTATAAACTGTATCCCAGTAAGCAAATGTGTAACAAGAGAATTTATTAGTCATTGTAAGAGCTTGTCTTGCTTAGGGCCAAATTATACCTTTATTATAAATTCTTTATTTATATATTATGATCACAGGAATAAATGTTTGAATATCAAATTTTTCTTCGTTGTGTTTTCTTTTTTTGAGGATGAATGAATTTTATCTTGCAGTTACAGTTTCCCTACATAAAAACATATCTCTTCAAACTAAACAGGATTTACTCATTTAGAGAATGCATCGCAGCTCCAGATCAGATAAATCCTTTTGTGTTTATTTGAAATCTTTACTTTAAAATAAATTCCAATGGTCAATTATTGGAGATTTGTACTTTAATTGTACATTTGTTCTGGAATATGTGTCACTAAAGCAAAAATATCAACTAAATTAAAAGAGCCTTAACTTGACAGGTCCTGCATCTTTACCATTTTAAGGACATTTACTCGAATATAATAGGTAAGTAAAGATCTGAAGTATTTGTTTTTTACTTGAAGAAGTTTCCCACCTTTTTCTTTGAGAATACACTCTTATTGAGTGAGCACATAATAATAAGAAGAATCAACTGGCTCCAGCTCCCCCACAGCCCTCACAGTGAAGGACATTGGTGAAGAATGGATAATTATAAAAATAACAAAAACAATAATGATGATGATAATAAGTCACAGGAGGAGGGTTTTGCATAGCTTTTAATATTTTAATCATATTTTCCTTATTTATCTTTAATATATTTATTGAATGACAATTTAAAAGCAGATTAGATTTAGATTTATTTGTATTAATTGGGTTTTAGTACCTTTACAGGAGGAGCTGAGTCCCGGAAGTGATGGTGCCTTTATTTTGAAACACCATTTTTTTTTCCGGAAGCCGGAAGAGCACAACAACAACAACAGCACAGGCGGGAACTGGCGCCATCTTGTGTCTTCAACAGGAAACGACGGACAGATGTGGAGCCTCTGAATCAATAACACGAAGTTTTAAAAATGTGAAAACAGAGAAAAGTGACGTGAAGCTGAAACCACCGTCGCCGGGGTCCGCTGGCTCCGAGGCCCCGGTTACCGATCATCGATCTGGCGGCGAGAGAGTGAAAGCGAAAGTAAAACTCGGAACAGTTCGTCAGCAGGAGCTCAGAGAGAGAAGACACGAGATCTTCGTCTGAACACCAAACTGCAGGTCGGCGACTCGTTTCACGTTTTTAATTCGTGTTCGAACACGATGTGACGTAGCAGCGTGTGAGCTAACGCAGCGGGATGCTAACGTCGCAGCATGTTGTCAATATCATGACTGAATATAAAGTCTGATCGAGCAGCACCGTGATGTCGCGTTGTTCTATTCTCCCTCTGCTCGGTTCTGCTGTTCCTGTGTTCACTTGGCTGCTGTAATACACGATGACATTGTTGAACACCTGTCATTCTGCTTTTTAAAGAGTACTTTCACTTTCACTCCAGGTACTTGTACGTTCTCCTCGCAGCAATTAGCCAGTGCATGCATTAGTCAATGGGCAGAAATGAATGAATACTAATTTTATAAAGTTTTTAAAAAAGCAAATATTCCCTCTCCAGCTTCTTAAATGCGAGGACTTGATGTTTTTAATTGTCTCACGCAACAATACACTGAATATCTGTGGCTTTTAAAAACTTGTTCCTGGACAATTGAAAAACAGAAGGGTCAATAAGCACTGAGGACTAACTGGAAATAATCAAGTAAAGCATCTGTCTACATTTAGTTACTTCCCACTTGCCAGTGTCATCAATACAATCTTTGATAATAATATTTGTCGTTCTAGGATCAGACTCTCCTCCTGCACTCCGACCCTCCACCAAAGGAAAATGGATGAAGTGGCAGCCTGTGGATTTTTCAGTCTAATTTTCGACGCGGTGCTGAGTTTGTCTCTGTGGGCCGTACTGGTGCTGCTGCAGCTCCCCAGCTGTAGTGGACTGGCGGGTGTGTGGACGTTTGGAGTGGTGAAGTGGGTTTTTCTCCACATCTTCACCTCCATACTGACTGATGGGAAGCCCCAGGCTGTGCTCTGCAGGTTCGTGGCACTCCTCTGCCTTCTCTCCCCCGTGTTTGAAAGTGGACGGTTTCTCCTGGGCTCTGAGGCTTACGTGGGACCGTCCCCTCACCTCAGCACGCTGCTCCTGGGCTCCATGTCCTCGACACTGGCTTGTGTCTTTTGGGAAAACCTTGTCTGCGGCGATGGAAAGAAAAGAGACGCCAACACAGGGAATTCTCGACAGCTGCTCAGGAGGCTGGTGACGTATTTCAGACCAGACACCCTTTACCTGATTGCTGCTTTCAGTTTCCTCATCTTCGGAGTGCTCTGTAAGTGTGAAGTATATATTTCCTACGCCTGTATATATGATTATTAGCTGTGCGTATACTGTAACTTCTGCATCAGACGAAAGCTGTGTTCTTAATTTTTCTTATTTACTAAATTCAGTTTAGCAATCTGTGGAATCCTTCTTTCCTAACAGGTGACTCTCTCATCCCACTGTATCAGGGGAAGGTCATCGATATGCTGAGAGGTCAGATGCCTCAAACCAGCTTCTGTTATTCAATTGGACAGCTGGCTCTCCTCTCTCTTGGAAGGTGATTGAACAAACCCCTGTATCGTACTAACAATCAGCACTAACACTAAAATGTGATTTGTTTCAGTGAATCTTTAAAAATAAACAAATCTCTACAGTGCATTGTTCTCTGGCTTGAGAGGAGGCATATTCATGTGCACCCTGGTCAGACTGAACAAGAGACTGAAGCATCTGCTGTTCCACAAGCTCCTGCAGCAGGACGTGCACTTCTTCGACGAGAACAAACCTGGTGAGAAGCAGAATAAACATTAGGACCTTTTGAAGACACTGTTTATGTTTTCCGATCTAAATCTTTTATTTTGCAGGATGAACAACGCAGAAAAGATGTGAACCTGTGTTTACATTTCACCCCCAAAAAATACAGACCTGAACTGGAATATAATATTCATAACAATGTTTTAACAATGGAAAAACAAAAGAGTTGAATGTCTCCAGCCATGTCTGCAGATTTCTGACCCTTTAATTACATCTTAAAAACACGGGACCACTTTGATAAACTTCCTGCTTCTCCATCATCTTTTACAAACATTGAAATCAGGCCGTTTCTCTCTTTCACCACCAGGACATCTCTCCTCCCGCTTGCACTCTGATGTCGACAGGATGGGCCGCACGGTGGCACTGAACGCCAACATGCTGATTCGCAGCACAGTGAAAACCTGCCTCATGCTCAAAGTGATGTTGAATCTGTCCTGGGAGCTCACCGTGCTCACCTGCATCGAGATGCCACTCCTGGCCTTAGTGCAGCACAAATACACGACTTTGTCCAAGGTCGGTGTAGATTCACTCTGAACACAGCTCACTCACTCATTCTCACTCAGTCACTGTTTTCAGGTTGATCGTCAGTTCTTGGACTTTAACCTGTCACATCCAGAAGTTCTGCATCAGACTGACGTGAAGGATCCAGTTCGTTGTCTCTGACTCGGTCTCTTTTGTCGAACAGGAGCTGAAAGATCAGATTCAGGACTGTCACGCTCAGAACAAAGAGCTGGCGTCCCAGACGATCGGCGGGATCCGTACAGTCCGCAGCTTTAAAGCCGAGAGAGACGAAGTGAGGAGGTACAACGAGGCTCTGGACCAGATGCGCATGATCAAGAGACGTTCAGGAATCTACAGCGCGGTCTTCCTCCTAATACGGAGGGTAAGATGGATTAGATAATAACTTTAGAATGAGATATTAAGTGAAAACTTAATTTA